AGCACGTGCTTGGACTGATGCTGTGAACTTTAGTAAGTCAGTTTTTAAAAATTCCCAGTGGTACATAGTGACTATGATATATTCAAAACTTGGCTGGGTGCAGTGTCTCATGCCCGTAATCCCAGCACTCTGGGAGGCCAAGGTGGGTAGATTGCTTGGGCTCAGGATTCAAGACCAGCCTGACCAATATGGCAAAACCTTGTCTCTACAAAAAATACAAAAATTAGCTGGGCATGGTGGCACACGCCTGTAGTCCCAGCAATCGGGAGGCTGAGGTGGGAGGATCGCTGGAGCAGAAGTCGGGGCTGCAGTGAGCTGTGATCGTGCCTCTGCACTCCAGCCTGGGCAACAGAGTGAGACCCTGTGTGTGTGTGTGTGTGTGTGTGTGTGTATATGTATAAATTTGGCCAGGCACGGTGGCTGATACCTGTAATCCCAGCACTTTGGGAGGCCGAGGCAGGTGGATCACCTGAGGTCAGGAATTCAAGACCAGCCTTGCCAACATGGTGAAACCCCATCTCTACAAAAATACAAAAAGTAGCCAGTCGTGGTGGTGGACACCTGTAATCCCAGCTACTCGGGAGGCTGAGGCAGGAGAATCACTTCAACCCGGGAGGCGGAGGTTGCAGTGAGCCAAGATTGCGCCACTGCACTCCAGTCTGGGCGACAAGAGTGAAATTCCGTCTCAAAAAAAAAAAAAAAAAATCAAAACTCAAAAGCTAAACTGAGTAAGCCTCACTTAATTACAAACACAGAAGTAACAAATGGAGTACAAGCCCAGTAAGACACCTGTGTGTTTTATGATGGGGGAATCACCGTTCAAACACCAGACAGTGGTTATCATCACCATCACCAGGCCCAGATAAAATGACTGAGACCTGGAAGGGCTGTTCACACTCCTTCAGCTCAAAAGGAAGTTTCAAGTTATTTTTCACAGAAAACGTGACTTTTTCACAGAAAAATAACTTTTTTCACAGAAAGAAACAGAGGCAATGACAAAGTACATGAGATTAAGAATTTCTTCTGTGGAAGACAACAATTTAAAATAATACTAGATCCCAGACTAAAAATGTCTGTAGCTAGCTGAATTTGAAAATACATACATTACCATTTTTTAGAAAAGGAGACTGAGAAATAACATAACATCTTATTCAAAAGCAGACTGCAGGGGGAAATGTCAGACCCCAGTGAATGCCTGGCACTTCTTGGACTGACCCGAGTACCCTGGCATCTCGGAGGATCCAGTGCTCTGGGTGCCCTTGGCTGTCTCCTCCTCTGTGGGGGGCAACTGCCTCCTGATAGCAACCTCTGGAACGTCAACAAGCACCTCCCCAGAGCAGCTCCCAGACAGCCGCTGAGGAATTCGTCCTGAGCGCAGCAGTCTGTTAGAGTTTCAGAATGTCCCACTACAGCCATTTCCATAGAACTCTTTGTGTTCTACACTAAACTCCTTTTATTGTTCAAGTATGGAATTTCTCTAATATACATCTTTTTGGGAATTTATATTCATTTCTCAGAAATGCACCATAGACCCCCTTGTCACTCCTTAGACGCCAGCCTGGGAGGCTGAGACTCAGGCTCTGCTGCTTTGCTTAATGGTGGAGGGTGTTGTCCCCCTCCCGGTATCACCTGGTATTTAACTCTTTTAAAGACGCCCCTGGGGGCAGATGCCCAAGCCAGCACTCCTTAAGGAGAAGGCCAGGTAATGACAACCTGTCACCTGTCACCTGTCGCAGGGAGATTCTGGTGTGGCTGCCTGGGGGAGAAAGTTCTCCACAGAAAACAAGCAATTTTCTTTACTTGGTGTTACATTTTGACCTAGTTCCCAGGGAAGTATGCTATGTGAAAAGAGGTTTGCCTCTAGTGCTAACCCTGTGCTGTTCCCAGAGGGAAGCTATAATTATGTACACACATTTGAACGCCCTAACTAATTGACTCTTTCTTGAATAACTGCTGTGTGGCGCTGTCCTGTGGATACTACTTAATCAGGCTGTTTACTCTCAGGTAGCTGAGTTTACATGAGGCATGTCCCTTACATGTGAGCCTGACACACACTTGGTAGAAGGACAGAAACTCCTCTTGGCTGGTGCTGAGCAGAGGTGTGGGGTGGAGGACAGGGGAGAAGGGGAACCTGGATTCCGATCCCCTCTCTGTCTCTCCCTGATGGCCTCTCCCTGAGCAAGTCATGTCTTTGCTTTCTGCTTTCTCATTTGTAGACTGGCCACAGTATTGTCTGTTATCAACCTCAAAAGAATAATGTACATGAAATGATGTAAGTGATGACTGGGGACATAATCACTGCCATCTTCATCATCATTACCGGAGGGCTATATTAGGAACAGCCTTACGAGTTAAATAGGGGGCACTGGGCAGTGATTCCCAGTCCAAACATCGTACTGTTCATCGGCCAGCCTGGGTTTCAATCCCAGCACTGATCTTACTGGTGAAGTGACCCCCTGGAAATTAAAGTAACCTCTTTATGCCTTGATTCCTCCCCCTCCATTGAGGATAACAGTAGCACCATGTCACAGGGGTTCTGTGAGGATTTAAAGCTAATATACAAGTCTACAACAGAACCTGACACATAAATGCCATATAATTATTTGCTATTATTTTTCTATGTGTTATTCTGAATTCAATTGACACTTGCTTTTATTATAAGACATGAATTATTTTCAGCAAGTTTTAAATTCTGAGACATGAGCTTTGCCATTCAGAATCATTCCTGAACACTTCTTTTCTGTACTCAAATTTTTTTTTTTTGTTAGGAAAGTAAATCATTTGCCAAAATAAAACAAGCCAATAACCACTCTTCCTGGTTTCTCCCTTGTGAATACAGACGTCACAAAGTGGGAATCTGAAAAAAGTGGCAGCTTATTTCATTAAGCCTTTGTTGGGCAAAAAGAGCCTCAGACAAAGGGCAGTGGCAGTGAAACCAGAGGACCCCAGGGAAGCCTTCCACAGAGATAGACCCTGTGCCTTGAACTTTCTGGGGCCTCCCCTTCTGGTCTACTTCCCCACCACCCTGGGCCACTCTGTCCTGAGAGATCTGGAGAGTTGACCCTCTGGGGTTCTCCCGCCCAGGGCTCAACCTCCTGTCCCACAGTGAGACACTCTGGTGCCACCCAAGGCAGCTCTGGAGTTGAAGAGTAAACTCCTCCTAGAAAAGTCAGCCCTGCAGGTTGGAAAAAATCACCTGGACAGTGTTCCTATCACCATCAGTAATAAGACGGAACTTCTCTGGGACTCCTTTCACATCACCTGCACATTTCTGTTCATCCCATTGCCAGGTTTCCTGGATACTTTCTTTGATTTGCAATAGGAGCATCAAAAAGCCCCTAAAGGAGAGTTCAGCTCCCCGGAGAGTTCCGACTTCCACAGAAGGCACCTGCGGAGGGGCCTGGGGGGCCCTCGGTCGAGCCAGTGCACAGCATCCAGCACATCATTCATTCCTCAGGCCACGTGAATGGTGCCCCTGGAGCTGCACGATGAGGTGCTTCAGCCTTTGGGAGGACAGCAGCCAGCTGGGAGGATCCGTTCCTATTTTTAAAAACTTCTAGAAAGGAGATGTGGTCTGTCAGCTCTAATCCTACTTCCTCTCCCTAAAGAGGCTTGGATGACCCTCCCTAGCTCTGTGCCTCCTACAACCCACTCCCCCAAATCAGTCACACGAAAGCTAGACCCAGGAAAGAGGGAAATAGAGGGGTGGGAAGGGGATGATAGGAAAAAAGAGAAAAGCATTACACAAAGGCTAGGGATAGCAAATAGGAGGTGCAGGAGGGAGGAAGGAAGGCAGATCCAGTGGGAAAGGGCAGAGCTGCAGCCAGGGGCACCAGCC